CAGGAAGCAAAGCTGTGAGCCACACACACACACACACACACACACACACACACACACACACACACACACACACATATATATACATCGTGGTAAATTTAAACAACATACAAACACCATCATGATGCAACTTTGCAGATAGGCTCCTTTTCAGGCTTTTTACGCCTTTATTTTAAAAGGAAAGTAAGCAGGAAATCAGGGAGAAAGAGAGCGAGGGGGGGAGGAGAGAGAGAGGACCTTAATTGCTAATTATTACTTTTCATTATTATTATTATTATTTGTCTTTGGCAATATATTTTACACGTTCATACCATTCAATTGAGAGAGAGAGAGAGAGAGACACAGAGAGACAGAGAGACAGACAGAGAGAGAGGGAGAGAGAGGGAGAGAGGGAGAGAGAGAGAGAGGGAGAGACAGAGAGAGAGAGAGGAGACGATTAAAGGAGCACAGAAAGAGGAAACTGCAGATAAAGAGTGTGAGCAGGAAACAGCTGTGGTCATGTGACTGCTGTGAGTTTGCATATTTGTCAGACCAACAGTGCTGCTCAGCTCTAAAGAGAAAAGCCCATCGTAAGAATAAAACAAATAAAAACATGAGACTATACCCTCGCTCAAGTAAAGTGAGAGTGAGATAAGAACATGATTTTATAACCGATCAATAAAACATGGTGAGCAAAAGCAAGGTAGAAATGAGTGTGTGTGTGTCACAGAGAGAGGGAGAGAGAGATAACTTCTTCTTCCTGTGTGCCCCTTGCTCTCTCATCATGAAGAAGAAAGCGTCCACTTTCTCACTCTGTCCTCTCTCTCACGCCATGCTCTCTTTCACTCCATCCTCTCTCTCACTCCTTCCTCTCTCTCTCTCACTCCGTCCTCTCTCTCTCTCACTCCGTCCTCTCTCTCTCTCACTCCGTCCTCTCTCTCACTCCGTCCTCTCTCTCACTCCGTCCTCTCTCTCACTCCATCCTCTCACTCCTCCTCTCTCACTCCATCTCTCTCTCACTCCATCCTCTCTCTCACTCCATCCTCTCTCTCACTCCATCCTCTCTCTCACTCCGTCCTCTCTCTCACTCCGTTCCTCTCTCTCACTCCCTCCTCTCTCTCACTCCATCCTCTCTCTCACTCTCCTCTCTCTCACTCCATCCTCTCTCTCACTCCATCCTCTCTCTCACTCCCTCCTCTCTCACTCTGTCCTCTCTCTCACTCCCTCCTCTCTCTCACTCCCTCTCTCTCTCACTCCGTCCTCTCTCTCACTCCTCTCTCACTCCATCCTCCTCACTCCGTCCTCTCTCTCACTATGTCCTCTCTCTCACTCCGTCCTCTCTCTCACTCCGTCCTCTCTCTCACTATGTCCTCTCTCTCACTCCGTCCTCTCTCTCACTCCCTCCTCTCTCACTCCATCCTCTCTCTTACTCCGTCCTCTCTCTCACTCCCTCCTCCCTCTCACTCCGTCCTCTCTCTCACTCCGTCCTCTCTCTCACTCCCTCCTCTCTCTCACTCCCTCCTCTCTCTCACTCCGTCCTCTCTCTCACTCCCTCCTCTCTCTCACACCCTCCTCTCTCTCACTCCGTCCTCTCTCTCACGCCGTCCTCTTTCTCACTCTGTCCTCTCTCTCACTCATCCTCTCTCACTCGTATATAAAACACAATACATGTAGAACGTGCATGTAGTCCCCATGAGAAGACAAAAAAAGAGGTCTGACCTCGTCTGTTAATCTCTAATGGTCACGTCTGTCTCTCTGCAGAGCAAGATGTCGTCCTCTGCAAACTCTTCAGAAGGTCAGTGACTCATGTTCATCGTGTTCTCTGTTTAGATTATCATATTATTGATCTCATGAAGGTTCTTTATGACATCATAGCCAACATATGAAACGTGTTGTTGAACCTTGTTCCGGTCAGAAGAGAAGGTTCATCTAAAACCCTTGTCACGTCTGATGACATCATCGTCACATGTGACATGGAGCAGAGAAGGTTTCCGTTCTATCGTATGTTCTCAGGTCACAAAAGGTTCAGAGAGTAAAATATGAAGAGCTCCATGTTTGAGCGAGACTCTGCTCTCCGTGCTTCTGTTTCTCTGCTTCAGGTGAGAGCATCGCCATGGCGCTTTTCGACTACGAGGCCATTCATGAAGGAGACCTGGGCTTCAAGAAGGGAGACAAACTCAAGATTTTAGAAGAGTGAGTTCACCTGTTTAACACTCACTGCACACCTGTTTAAGACTCACTGCACACCTGTTTAAGACTCACTGCACACCTGTTTAACACCAACTGCACACCTGTTTAACACTCACTACACACCTGTTTAACACTCACTGCACACCTGTTTAACACTCACTGTACACCTGTTTAACAGATACTGCTCAGGTTACCTGATCTTAGAGTCATGTCAGAAAAGTAGAAGTATGACGGATCCAGATATTTTAGATGTTTTTCATCCGACGTGTGAAAGAGGAAGTTAGACGTTTTGTTCTGAGAAGAGAAGTTAAAACGTCTTGTTAATGTTTGTTTGTTCAGTTTGACTTCCTCTCTTCACAACCGATGTGTTGAACTTTCTACAGCAAACAAATAAACATTTCTGTGATTCAAAAGAATTACCCTGAAACTTCCAATAGAAGCCAATCCCAGTTTAATGCCCAGGCTCAAGGTTGATTGGTTGGTTGGTTGATTGACCTGAGCTTTAAATGAGAACTGTTTACATCCACTCTATATGTAGTTTGTGTTTTTAATGGTGAACGGGCCACACTGAGTCGTTTATATAGTCTTTGTTAGCAAGAATTATTTACAACTGTTGACCCCCCCCCCTTTCTCTCTCTGCCCCTCAGGTCAGG